AAAAGAAACTTGCTTGCTTAGGATCTTATTAACAGACTGCTTTGAAGGCGGTTGGCCTGTGTAAGTCCACCGAATCTGAGTTTATTTGAGGCAATTTTGCGTCAGTTTGTCTATCGATCGAGCGAGTGTCATATGATTTCTCACGATTTCGCATGTTTCACTATTTTGAACGTCCTTCACCTTTTCAATGGCTTCGGATAGCAAGCTGTTTGCGTCCGAAAAGCATTACTGGATCAACCATGCGCAACGTTTTCTAATAAACTGTCTGAAAACCGCGGGCGTTACATTCGTGCAGTCATCATGGTACCATACTTTGCTCTCATTGCGCCGCATGACACTTTTCCCAGTGTATGGATAGTTGGGCATTGGCGATCTCTTTTTCGGAATTTTCCAGTTATGAATGGAAGGTTTTCAAAACTAGACACAGAAAATATCAGGAAACCAAAACTTAAATGACCAAAAAAGGTGGGAAATTGTAAATTGTTAGGTCCAAAAGAGCACACAATTACAAAAAGAACCTATGTAATCGAAGAATACTGGTGCTACTTTAGTTTATAAAAGAAACAACATTCTTGGCGGTTATATTAACTGATGTGAACTCACTTAAGTTGAAAACAGTAGTCTTGATGAGTAATTCAGTGAAGAAAAATAGGCACAGGAAAAACTTCGGACTCCATAAAAGCTGCCCGCCATTTCGTTTCTACGACCTTGAACAGTCTGATAAGGGACGGTCATCCCGTATTTCAATTAACGCTGGTTTGTTAGGTTGCATGAGTATTCATTTTTTCATATTTAAGTCATCTTTTGCTGCATTGAAAAGCACAACTTTCAAAAGAATTAATTTAGCATTCTTTGTTTTGTAGTGTACACGTTGGCTCTGTTGTTGCTTCGTCAGCTGACAGTGATCCCAACGGCTGTAGTAGACCTCAACGAAATGTCAAGTCACCGATAAGTCTTAAATATGTGTAGTACTTCCTTCAGTTATTATTGTTTCAAGGAATACATTTTTAATGAATAATGATTGCTGTTTGTAGTGTTTCATGTTCAAGTGACATTTCAGTCGACTTAAGCGATGCTTCTCAACGTATCATACTGAACAAGCATTTCACAAGCTGGGATGACTTCGATAGTTCGCTAAAAGAGTTTTAAAAAGTATGGAAGAATAATTTTATCCCTTCTCAAATTATCCGTATTCATTATATCCACACAGAAAGCAAATTGCTCAATGATGTCAGGTTCAAATACCTTTTTGTGACATTTCATTGCACATTTAGTCATAAGCGTAAATCAGGTCTGATAATGAATCAAAAACCGTGAGAATTGTAACTAGTATGTGACGTTTAAGGTCTAAAATTATTAACTGCCAATTGAGGTTCAACATAAGATTGGAAGGGGAGGGATATGTTATCATATAATATGCTGCACAATCCTCCTTGTAGTAGTTTGTGGCCCATCGACCAGAAGATTGTCGTCCGAAGGAAAAGAAAATTTAAAGCCGGTCATATTGCAGTTTCAATCAATAGATGAACTAATAAAAATTGTCAAAGATAGGACTGGTAGGCAGGACACTGCTGCCGATGTGAAGACTATGAAAACTAAACTGTCCACAGGTAAGTGTATAGAAGTATATTTCAGGTTGTGTGGCGCATAAGCAAACTGAAAAATGTGTGCTTCGTCTATGCTGAATATCAAAATGTCGTCTGGTTGTTCATGGTGGACTGTGGACAGCATTACGAGGTGAATATAAACAATGTGGGTGCAATTGCAGAATATTTCTTACGTGCAGATATCTTTGTCGCCAAGTGCTACTGGCTGATGCTAAATGACGAACTATTACAGGTAAGCTTAATCAAATACGAACTATAAACTGTATAGCCCATCGAATTCTTAGGCACTGAAGTAGATGGAAGTTAGATGATACGCAGAACTTAAAAAATAATACAACAATTTCATTACCGAGACTGAGTGATGAGTATATGAGCATTCTACGACGCTAAAGACTTTACAGACAACACAGTTGAGAAATATGATAAACGTTTCGCGATAGAAGTTGAGAAAAACGTCAACAATTGCTTTATTGGCATTATCAATAACAACTTGTAAAGTTGTTTTTCTGATTCATTATCAATGATGATCTTATAAACTTGTGCATAATTTTTATTTTCCTCTTCTTCTTTCTTTCATAGGAAGTAACTTTCTGTGAGGATTAAGAACTTGTAATACTGCATCAGTTTTGAAGTTTCGTTAGGACGTAGCGTTATGTCACTGTTAATTGTGACAAAAAGATGAGTTACTTTACACAGTGATGCGACTTCCACGTAAAATCTTACATATTAAGCAACCGCATGACATATTTACCGTTGTCGGGCTAAGTCTATCATCAAATTAGTATTAGTACCGAACTAGACAATAATTTCATGCAGTTAGTTTCCTGATAAAATGGGTTAGGCAATAATTGGAAAATAATTGTTATATTCCTCTACCATTACCGAATTCTTAAATCACCTTTCACTCACACGTTTTTGTTCACTTGGTCCTCTTAAATAATGTGAACTCCTCAAATTCTATTCAATAATATTATCAGTTTTTAATCCCAAGAATCCTTCATTACCTCTAAAATGGCCACACATTTGTCTTATCTATGTCTGAATTCCACTCGACTATTACACCAGCCATTCTTAGTATTTCCTTAATTCTAACACCAAATAACCTTTGACATGTCCTTATATATATATAGTTATTGTTGACAACCTAGGTCATTCCAATTATTTACTTTTTCTTGTACTATTTCTTACCTCAATATTAAATTCTAATACATATTTGGTTATATGCAGTTTACGAGAAACCACGAAATATAATGCAGTTATATTATTCTGCATCTATATTTGTTCTGGCTTTATTTAGACTATAGTTATACATACTTACAGGATTCATAGTGCAAAACACTGAGTATGGTTGTTATAGTTATATTTCAATAATTCATAAGATGAATGAACATGGCAGTAGGTAATATAAAAGTTATCGTAAAATTGTAAACTATTTTTCCACATGATCTTCCATAATCATAGGTTCATACAATTTTGAAAAACAAACAGTTAAACTTAGTTATGAGTATCAAATTCAACAAGTTAATCAAATAGTAGGTAACAGAATGCATACAAAAGTGCCTTACTTGTAAACAGTGCTATTCATTAGAGATTTTGGATCCCGTTAATAGAAATTCATTGGTAATCTTTATAACAAACACATCATAAATTAGTGTTACTTAAAACTTGCTTTAGTTACTATGCTCACAACATACACGCATCGTTCGACTTATGAAGAAAATGTGACTCATTAATGTGGCACTTATAGTAATGTTATACACATTTTTCTTGCTTCAACCTGCATTTTACAAACAGCTATGAACATCCAAGTTCAACACCACCATAATTAAAGGGATGAATGAAATGCAAATGCTTTAACGACTTGTTTTTGTATATAACACTGATGTGGGTAAATAGATGAATAACATGACCACAACTAATAAACAATTAGAAAAGAACGTTAATGTCTAATTGTCAGGATAGCCACAAGCAACATGTACCTATGTGGTACGTGCTTGCTGTTAGTAAGAATCGACCATCTATTGATTATTTTGTCTTCCAGATTAAACGTTATTTGTCTGTACAAATGATCTTATACAATATTTTGTTACTTCATCAATGTTTGTCTCATTACCGAGTTCCTTGGCCACAAAGGAGATATGAATGTTAGAAATTTGTTATTTAGCTTCTATTGCTCGTTTACTTTTTGCCACGTATTTGGCCTAAATTACTTTGGACTTTAGCCGAGTCAGCCTGTAATGCTAAGAATTATCTAAGAATTATCTCAATAATATTTGTTATTTGATTCTAGTTCTTCTAGGGCTGTATCATATCAAAAACTGAGAGCTTCAAATCCCCATCATATAACTATGAACACCTCACTATGTTATTAGTTTAAATTATACCATGTTCATGATGCCGATCGGTTAAATTAATTGCTTCAACCCACATTTTACAAACAACTACTAACTCGACAATATGCACTGAAAATTTGTTCATAGTTTGGTCAGTGATTGCGGATTCTGTTTACAGAAGTCCATTCGTAAACCCCATAACAGACATATCATGATTTAGTATTAATTACGACATGGTTTAGTTACCATGCTTAAAACAAACAGCCATCATTTTACTTATGAAGAATATGTGACTACTTGATGTGATACTTTCAGTGGTGTTATACACTGTTCCTGTATACGCTCAGAAAGCGGATAGAGAAGAATCAGCCTCAAATGTTACGTAATTTTTCTCAGATACGTTACATAATTGTGTCACTTCAGTCTAAAACGATGATGCTTATGATGGATATATTTGTTCATGGCTGTATATTAGCAAGTTATATAATATTGATAAATAGTTTAACGCTTAGTTGCTTCAATCTACATTTTATAAATAACTACCAACATCCATGTTAATCATCACCATAATCTAAGAGGTTTTAAAGCTTATTTTCTTAAAACTCTGTTTGCGATCTATTTTTGACTGGAAAAAAAGAACTTTACCTGCTTGGATTTGTATTGTTACAAATAACAACATTAGGCTGGCGAAACATTCACTCAGGTTGTGAGCAAAAATACGTCAAACTACCAATAAATTAGAATAAAAGCCATGTAAAAAGCACAAACATTACAAAAATTGACGTGTGACGGAAAAAGCGTTGTTAATAACTAATGAATAACGACACAAAAAGTCCGCGACAATATGTAAAATGTACGCGAAAACGCATGGCTTACCAATCTGTCCGTCCTTATTTTACTCTTTAAATAACGCGCGTGTTGAAAGGTCAACATCACACATAACATTTATAATACTGACACCGTTACACTTTGTCGCAAAGATATTATATATTACTCTTTAGAAAGTAATCTTTCATTGATTTTGTTAGTTCATACCAATAAATCAACGTTCACATGTGCATAAAGCCCCGCAGGATTTAAAGATTTGGGATAATCTTTTGATTCGTGTGAGAGTGTTTTCGCTCATTTTTTACTATCTATATGTAATAAACTCTTTGAACAAAACGATTAAATTAAAGTTTTTAGAAAATGTGAAGGATCAGCAATTAAGCTTTGATTAAAACTTTAAAAGGACAGAATCATAGTTTGTGTCTTAGCAACGACTATGGAAGTTTACAGGCATCTACAGAATGCATTAATTCGTAGACACCTGAAAATCACTCGGAATTATACATCTAAAACCTGCCTTAAGCACTTAAAACACGGGGTATTCTCTATTTTGTGGAAAATAAGATATGTTGTGGGATGTAAAAATGGTGATTTCAATGTATTTATTACAAAAGTGGAATTGTTAGAATAAGAAACGAAAATTTAGCGCATTGATTCCTATATTCACATCGACCTTTCGTTAGGATTTCCACGAAACTCGCTTTTGTTTCTTTTTTTGTGCTTGGTATGACTGTCCTCAACTAAGATGCTCAAGGTTGTGGGATTAAAAAATCATAGAAGTCTAGAAGTGACGTACATTTTAGTTTCATGAGATGAGTGACTTTTTTGTGGAGATTTTACTTTGAATTTGTCGATGTTCAATCAAATATGTCTTGATAAACAATGGTCCCATTTATGTTAGTGTAAATATTTGTAGCTATGGGTGATATAGCCTCCATATTTACTACAGTTTATGCCTGCCTACATGCTGTTTGTAAGGCCTATAAACTCAGAAATGGAAGATTCAAAGTTCTAATAGTTGTGTCTGTATAAATATAACGACCTAAGAAGCATCAATATCAACACATGCTCTACCATTATTTAAATATATCTTAAATGAATACGTTTGATGTGCATAAGTTGAAGGGTTTATTCCGTAAATAATTCTGGTAAAACCAATTTTTGTCCGGGAGATTTGCAATGAAGCAAGAAATTTAGAATGATGCAGTAACTTTTCATATTCATTTCTCATGAAATCGTAATATTATATTTTATATTAAAACATCTAAATACTTATATGTAGGTCTTCTAGACACTAGATACAACCGCGTTACGCTTTTTTCCTCGCGAAATATAGTGAATGGAGTAGTTATAGATAACACTATTGTATAAAAAGTATCCAGTCTTTAACCTAGCAATGATGAAAAAGTATTAGTAACGCAAAATTCGCAGATGATACAGAATACTTGAAGCTAAAAATTCTGTTTGCTGGAGAAACAGTCGAATAACTATTAGTAAAATGAGAAATGACTTAACATTTAAATTACATACATTTCGATTCTTAAGGATAACCGTGTTTTCAATACTAGTTTGCTGTTTCTAATAACGTTATTTCAAGTCCCTTTAATGACGCTACAGAAATATGGTTTATTCTGATTCTGGTGGACCTTTCATCCTTATTTAGTATGAAATCTTTGAAAGCTTCAATTTGTTTTGTCCTTATGATACTTCAAAAAATATACCATTTTTTCTTTTATGGACCGTTAAAAATATCTAGAACATGACCATTGCAAGCATGGATGAACAGGAAACAATCCATACTGCAGTGAAACGAGGTGATTTTGTGGCACTCAAAGGAATGATTTCGAGTGGAGCCAGTGTAAATGAAGTAGATAAACATTCGTTTACACCTTTACATTGGGCTGCTAACGTAGGTGCAATAGAGGTAACAGACGATCTGGTATTTGAGTAAGCATCTGATTTCTGCACTAAGATTCTACAATATCTACTGTGGAAAAATGCTGATCCTTCATTGGTGACTAAAAGTGGTTGGACACCCGTTCATATAGCTGCCATCCGAGGCTATGAGAAATGTATACAGTCACTGGTTGACAGAGGTGTGAGTGTCTCTGCTAAAGACAAATACGGTCAGACTCCTGGCCATCTGGCTTCAATACATGGAAATTCCGGTAGCCTTTTAACCCTCCTACGCGCTGGTGCTGTAAGTTCACATTTTGTTGTCATCCGCTATCGCTTAATGATCTGTTTTAATAGCCACCTCAAAGTTTACCCTCGCAAATAAGTAGGCTTTTCTGTCTTTCAATGCCTCGACATGGGATTTCCGGAAGCTCATGTCTTGGGTTCTTTCCTATTACACTATACTAAGATATATCTTTGATGGCCAAAAATGAAGTTTAATTATTTGATACACTGTACAAGCATTGAAATATCACAAACTAGTACACGTCCTCGTATTACTTGGAGGTGGTAAGGTAAAAGTCTTACGAATTTGTCTTGAATTTATTAGAGGTCAGAAGCAACTCAACGAACGAAGACGAGAAAATGTTTTTAGAAAATCTTGACGGATTGCATTTATTTAGAAAGAATCTAGTAGTAATATATAGAGAGGCTATCAGTAGATACAAACATCACATCTACCACAAATTCATAAATCAGGCTTTTAGTGGAAAGTTTGTAGATGTATATTCAAGCGCATATATCATTGCAGATTTTATATCGCATCATGGGCCATTGTTAGTTTTGGAGGCAACAACAGAAATCCCAAAAGACTCACTCATGTTATTTGAAATGTATTTGACTATGATGATAATTGTGTGCATTGTGGATAATGAATAAAGTTTGAATGTTCATTACATGTGATACTGGTGAGTTCATTTTCGACCGATTATTTTTGTGCTGGCTTTAAAATTTAAGGACACTTAATACATCTTGTGAAGTTTGCATACGTTCAGACAGATAGGAAATTGTTTAATTTTTCTTTGTGCTCCAGCGTATACCGATGGTAGCTGGAGATTGATGGACAAAATGGAAGGCTTGCTTATTGTGAGATTAAGCTGAGAGAACAGTAACTTTTTCAAGATACTTCGACAGACATCGTACAAGGCTTTCATGAACTCATGAAAACTGCAAGACGTATCAAACCATTTAATCACATAATCGAGACTTTTACTTCTCGTTTATTTATATTTAGGATCTTGAAACAGTGGATATTAGTGGATGGACAATGTTACATGCAGCTTCATTTCACGGACGATTAGGATGTGTTCAAGTGTTACTCAGGTGGGACCTGCGAATAGAGGATACTGACAAAGCTGGAAACAATGCTGGTAAATTCAGTTTATATAACCCAGATAAAAGTAATAAAAATCTTAGTTTTTGATTTAGAACGGTGTTTTAATTAGTGCGCATCAACATTAAGATCACACACAACCACTTAGTTTGCGGATATTTAGCTATTTAAAAAATACTTCCACCAAGTAAAAACCGCACGATATTGTTCTGCACTAGTTCACAACCATTTAATATTATTTATCTCTGGTATCATATGTGATGAAATCTAGAGTCGCCTAATTCATCAATGAACACTACTATATTTTTAATGGCACAAATTTTATAAGTGTATCCAATTTGCGATTTGTAGTACTGATTCCGTAAGGTCTTGGTTAAAAGCCCATATCTTTTTTTTAAAGACCCTCATTAAACCAGTGGTTATGTAAAGTATCTCTAATGTGTAAACCAATCAGATAGGGTTATAAGTACCCTGATAATGTAGTATTCAGAATAATCTTTCGTAGAAATTTTCTATTAGCAAAAAAGTACTTTTTATTAATAGGTTACTTTGTAGGATTTGTCGTCACATACGTTTTAGCAATGACTGGATTTGGTAAACTGTTTCCATTGTTTGGAATGATCAGTCGATGATTGAATATACCTTTATTTGTGGTTGAACGGTCTTCTTGGATCGAATTACTGTTTTAAGTCTCGGTTTCTTTTACCTTCTGACATAAATAACACTTGCAAAGCTTTCATGTAAAGCAGTAATCAAATCCTAATAAAATGTCAAATTTTAAGCTGTTTAATAAATAGTTTATATCGATTTCAGTAAAAATTTACCATAAAAAAAACAGAACAAGATATACATTTTAACAGATGCTCAGTGACATTTTTATCTTTACAAAAATAATGTTACAACTTGTACTGGTCTTCGTAGTTGTTGAAAAACATTTTTATTAGTCTATTCACTTTCACTACACAAAACCATGTTCATTATGTCAATAAACTTTGATATTTTTAATGCTTAAAATTTAGGTAAATTTGATATACAAATCATCATATATCTTGAAAATTGTATCTTATTCATTAGTATGATTTCTTATTTTTATATCCTTTCCACAAATTATTATTTTCGAAAATTATCTAAAACAATCTTTAGTCCAAATATACACTAATAATGTAAGAAATTATTGTATCGAAACTAATGTTTGTTTGTGTGATTTTTAGCTCATCTAGCAGCAATGGAAGGTCATTTACCTGTGTTGCAGTATTTAATGAGTCAAGTCCAAACTCCATTGTACATACTCGACACTCCCAATGATCATGGAGAAACTGCTGAAGCTTTAGCTAAACGGTTTTTGAAAAACGATGTTGAATCGTATATAAATAAAATCAAAACAGAACAGACATTCCATAGAGGATCAGAATACTCAGAGACATTGGCGTTTCCAGCACATGCGGCGGCTTATTCTGGGGACTTAATCCAACTACGTGTTTTAATAGAGTCAGGGACTGTAAAGATAGATGAAAGAGATGAACAGGGTGCAACACCATTACACAAAGGTAAACTATATTGTTTAACAGAATAGCTCAGTCAGTCAGTTAGCTACAACGTAGGACCAGGCACACATATGCATCGGTCCATGTTGCCACACTATTGTATGACTGATATTAATAATATGGTGATTTAACGTTTACAGTAATAGGTTGTTATGTAGAAGAATTCCCTGTGGTATAAGTGTTAATGATAAGTAAATAACTAACTCTCAGTATAAGTAAGATATTTAGTTATTTACTAATAACACGTATATCACAGGGAATTCTTTTACTTAACAACCTATTACTGAAAAAATTAAATCACCATATTATTAATATCAGCCATATAATGGTTTCTCAGTGATTATTTTAAAAGTGTTACAACATTTTGTAGAACAATTATTCAGCTGTTAATGAATGACATTAAAAATTAAATTGACACAATAATAGTTATTCACTAATAGGGCACATTTTAAAAATAAATGATAAATATATCTTGTTCTTTCTGACACTATCATATTGACCTCTTTTTATATATTTCAATGTTTATCATAAAGTCAGAGATGGTTTTGCACTTTCTTCCGAAATCGTACTTATTTAAAGTGACATAAATGTTATGAATCTCTAAATGTAACTTAAAATGATTGTTTTTATGAGATTTCATTCTTGTATTAAGTGAATCTTTATTTTATAATGTAAATAAATGAAATCACAAAAGGTACAAAATTTCTTAAAAATATCCAAGAAAAGTATTTAATTATGTAATAATTTTTGTTAAACTTTTTGAATGTTTATTAAATTTATTAGAATACTACTTATTGTTACACCTCTCATCAATGATTCATTAAAAGATACTATTTTCAACAATTACTAAACTTGTGGTATGGGCTACTTATATTCATATAAGTAATATATAACAATGGTCAGGCATAAAATGTATTTCGGTAGTAGATCGATAAGAAAAGAACGGGAACCGAACTCAATTGGTATAAAATGCATGAACAATGAAATCTGAGAAGATGGACTGATATTTGCAAAAGGAACAGTCAAGTTTAAAACGATTGATTGATATTTTGGAAATTAAATATTTACTATATGGTTCTTAGATTTTAGTGAGATATACTGTAATTTCGTGTGTAAATATATTCGATTGTCCCCACTCGTTTTCTTGTTCACTACAAACTGAGGTGCAATGGTATGTCAATGTCCCGTATTACTTACTTACTCACTTACGCCTGTTACTCCTCGTGAAGGAGCATAGGCCGCTAACCAGCATTCTCTTTTTTAATATCTGATTCTGTTTCCCGACGTAATGTGTTCTTTAGCCTTCCTCTTTTCCGCTTCCCTTTAGGATTCCAAGTTGCGGCTTGCCTCGTGATACAGTTTGACGGTTTGCGCAGTGTATGTCTTATCTATTTCCATCGTCTATTCCTAATTTCTTCAACTGGAAGCTGATTTGTTCTCTCCCACAAAAGGCTGTTGCTGATGGCATCCGACCAATGGATGTTGAGTATCTTGCGTAGACAGCCATTTATAAATACTTGTACCTTCTTGATGGTGGTTGTTGTAGTTCTCCAAGTTTCAGCTCCGTACAGTAGAACTGTCTTGTATCGAAGATTCTCACTTTGATATTGGTTGAAAGTTGTTTTGAGTTCCATATGTTCTTCGATTGTGGGAATGCGACCCTTGCTTTGCCAATCTTCCCATTAACGTCTGCATCTGAACCTCCTTGTTCATCGATTATGCTTCCTAGATATGTGAAGGATTCTACATCTTTCAGAGTTTCGCCATCAAGAGTGATTGGATTGCTGTTCTTCGTTTTGAATTTGAGGACCTTGGTTTTCCCTTTGTGTATGCTGAGGCCTACTGATGCAGAGATTGCTGCTACACTGGCTGTCTTTATCTGCATCTGTTCGTGTGTATGCGATAGGAGGGCTAGGTCATCTGCGAAGTCCAAACCATCTAATTGATTTTGAGCTGTCCATTGTATTCCGTGTTTTCCTTCAGATGTCGAAGTCTTCTAACCCAGTCGACCACCAGAAGAAAGAGGAAGGGAGAGAGTAAACAGCCTTGTCTGACTCCGGTCCTTACTTGGTATGTGTCTGTCAGCTGTCCTCCATGCACGACCGTGCACTGTAGTCTGTCTTATGAGTTCCGAATAATGTTGACAATCTTCTCAGGAACTCCATAGTGTCGAAGAAGTTTCAATAATGTTCTCCTATCTACATTGTCAAACGTCTTTTCATAATCAATGAAGTCGATGTACAGTGATGAGTTCCACTCAACTGATTTTTCGACGATGATTCGTACTGTCGCGATTTAATCTGTGCACGACCGATCCTTACGGAATCCAGCCTATTGATCTGGAAGTTGGGCATCTACTGAGATTGTCCCGTATTAATGTAACACAATTTGCTTAGATGTGTTGAAAAAATATAAAATGAAAAAGAATTCACAATAACTTCCACATCTATTAACGTTTAATTCTAAACGAATAATAATGAAATAAAATGCCGTAAAAGAGTTACTTGAATAAACGCACAAATATCATCCACCTGAGCTACAAATCTTCTCCAGTATCTTCGTTAACAATCATGCATATCAAGTTGGGTCTCCCAGTATATCTATTACAGTATATCTCAATTCATATAATGAGTTTACCTCGTTAGATTTGTATGTTGATGATATTTATTGTGAACATAAATTTCAAACATTATGAAGTGCAAATAAATATTTCTATTTATTTAAATTGCTTAGCTGCTGGTCAAGGACACCTGAAGATAATTCAGTGGCTTCGAGAAAACGGTGCTGATCCAAAATTAAGAAATGAACTGGGTGAATCACCAGCCGATGTAGCTAGAAGGTATGGTCATTTAGGAGCGCTAAAACTTTTATCACCTAAATCCGATGGAGAATATGAGAATGAAGAAATTTCAGATATTATAGATTTACCATCTGATATTCCGCTTGGTTATACTGAAGGTGAAAAAATGCATCAGCTCATAGTGGATAAAAATGGCGCAATCGGTAATATTATGATTTATAGCGATTAAATCTTTATAGTTTTTGAAACTTGACAACAGTAGTGATTTTTAGGCTAGAAGGCGCTTCAAGTTAAGATTCTTTAATTGCTTACGTTCTAGTAATCGGAAACGATATCCTGAAAACCATCCATCCAATTGTATTTTCTAGGTGATGACTAAATGGGAAGATAAATCCATAATTTTGTTGGATGAGAGAAATTCAGTCACTTGAATGTAGGGTTTTTACGTATTGATCTTTCTTCCTGACATTCTGTCTAGTGGATGTATCTAACCACATCTATTCACTACAGTTTAACGCGTATGCCACAGCTTCTAAAAGACTTAAATATAACGAAAGTAACCAATAGCGTCATTAAAAAAATTAATTAATTGATCCACCTCTGACCAAAGCGAAAATGAACACTTAAAGATAATTCAGCGAAGAGAATTTTCTTTTCAACGATATTGTTTACTGAAGCTGTACACTCCTATTTATAATTAATTTACAAATAAAATAGTTTATTGAAAAGTGGGATGACGATTATATCGTTTCATATGTTAAGGGAAGTTCCATAACGATCGAAATTTTCAAGATAATGATCTGAAATCAAAAATGTATGAAACAATTTTCCATTTAACGAGTATGAAAAGGACGAAAAAATGAATTGAAAATGTGTTGGTAATAACGAACAATTGAAATCAAAGAGATTGAAGATAGTAGAAGGTTATTTTACCAATGAAACTGCCGTTTATGAAAATTAGGTATTAGAACCATGGAATATTTATGGTTTGTACGTGTCTTTTTTGCACATAGAATTCAGGTTTAAGAGATGAATTGTTTGAAACGGTTAATACTTGATATGTCTTCAGTTTTACACACACTATCATGTCTATCATCATCCATATAAAAGTGATATACCTTTAAGGTTTGTGGCTGAATATACTGTCGAAAAGGATAAGCACTTTGACAAGACATTATTTTCAAACTGAAGAAAGTGATGACTTTAAACCCAGGTTATCTGAATACAAGTAAGTTAACCAAAAGCTTGTAAGAAGTACAAAATAATTACATATATGATTAAATCATGTTCTAACTGAGATAATATTTCAAAATAAATTTACAAATGATTGTAAGTACTTGAATGGTTGGTATTTGTCAGAAAAAGAATGCAAAATGGAGTTTATTCTGTTTGTATAAGTTTACAACTGCACAGCTTTTCATCATCATCATTATCATCTATTCATTTATTTCTACTCGTTCTGATTATGTATCATGTTGTTTTCTTTTCAGTTAGTGTCGTTTGTAAATTTAGTTAAATTGTATTAGTCTTTATATGTTTTGATGTTAAACTTGTTTTAAAGTCTTCAGGTAGTCAACGTAAAAACTTCAAAATGAAGTCAATATATATTATTCGACTTCAATTGTCGTATTTGTTCAAGGCACATTATTGTAAGGGATTAATTAGTTGATTAAGGTTACTTGAAAGTTTGTCGGAAATAAAATCCATATGTAATAACTGATTTTGAATAAAGCGGGATTCTGTTTTCACAAGAATAAAGAAAGTATAACAAATCTCATATTGAAAGATACAGGCCAACAATGTCACAAAGATTAGAACGAAAATTTACCCTTTTTTTCATCACATTTTGATATAATACTGGGAAAATATTTCTTAAGTGTTCCTCTGAATACTAAGAAATTTAAAATTGTGTGCCTCCTAACGCTTGGCTCAACCAGATATGCAAGTATAAGAAGATTAAAAGCACACATTTAGCATTATGCTCAAAGCCGAATACATAAATTTTACATAAAAATTAAAGTTATTGGATGGATCTCGACAAAGATATATGGGTGGTAAACCTGGTTAGAAATATCTTTCAGCCTATTAATTTATATTTTCCAATCTTAAAAGTTAGAATTTTGAATATTAATTGGGTTGGTTGACTTGATACCTACCATATTCTAGGATCATATTTAGTTTCTGATTTTCAAGAAAGAGTTATTTGATTTTCAGTTGTTGAATTTATCAGTATGCTCACTGATGAGGAGCCCCATTCTAGGATGAAACGGCTGTCCAGTGCTTCCATGTTTTAACTTATGATCTAACATCGATCGATTCATTATAACAATGAAAAAAATTGTTAAAATGTTTACTGTTATAACTTTTACTTTAAATGAAGCCCATATATACACAGTCTGAATAAAATAACTGTAATAATGGTAAGCAGGGATGGGTGGTGGCTTGCAGTGGAATTCAGGACGTACGTCTCATCCAATGTGGGCTTGTCAGCTGAATGTACCTGCATCCTGGAGTTGATGTTCGCTCCGTGACTAGAACCCAGTACTTTTCGCTTCAAACATATGCCAAGAAAAGTCTGATCCATTGCAGTCCTAAACGTCAGTGGGAAGATTTACATGACCAATACAAAAGTCGGTGTAATAGTGGTGCCCTAAACAGAATCTTTTTTATTAGATGATTAGTGATTTTAAAGTAATGAAGGTGAAAATTTTAATAATTTATCAGTAACTATAAGTTTCATAGATCCATAGTTATTTGGTCAATCACTTAAGTGATAATTCGATAGGTAGATGTAATTTTTAATAGTAATAATGTCCAAGTACTTGTGTAAATTTTTCACCGTTAGTAGATAGTTATTTTTAAGCCACTATACAACCCTTTTAATGTACGAACACTTAAAAGAACGATACATGTTACAAATATCATTTTATTTATTATTAAAGGTAGAGCTAAAATTAGAATTGAAAAATTAGAACGTTTGTTAGAATTGGCTAAATCAGATTATAAGCAACTAGATGGTCCGATAGAGAAAGAAGAAAAACAAAGAATCGATGCCTTAAATGAACTCGGCCGGTATGTATTTTTTTCAAACATATATTTAATATAGCTGTTGAATAGGATCAAAGTCAATTGAGAAATATAAGATACAACTCATAGATCATTAAGGCAAAATTGTGTCGATCTTCAGATATCAGTCCATCAGAAATAAATAAAATAATGTAAAGTTATGTATTGATTAACCCATTAACTAGGTTTCTCATTAAAAGAATAACTACTACACGAGAGATATAAAAAGAAGTAAGGAAGAACTTACCATCGGTACATATATTTTTAGGCATTCAATCATAAAAAACAATGGGGGAAACAATATGAAGCAATATGTTACTATTAAATAGAATGTTAAGTGTCACCTCAATTTATACCCTTCAATAGACAAAATACTATCATAGGAATTTAAGACAGGTAATATTCGTGATTTAATAATGGTGATGATAATTCGGTTTATTTATAAAGTGTCATGAGCTGTAAGCTGCTTCTGATATCATGTCATCATTTTTAGATTTATGGTTTAATACTACTTGGTTAATGGGATCGTATTCGTGCGATTTTGATATTTTTTAGAACAGAACTTTTCATCTCATATTCATTTATAGAATGAATATTGTGCTTTAAAACCACTGACAAAACTAAGAAAATGAAATTAACTAGATTTTACTTTTAATGTATATCGTTACTCCGTATATCTGTGCTAAACAAATTATTGTTCACTAAACACATTGTTCACGTCATTATCGGTGTGTTCATCTATTCTCTTCACTATTCTCCTCTCATTCTAACGACAAGTCTAGACAGTTACACAAAATTGTGCTATCTACAATTAAGCTATACTCCGATTCCCTTTTGTCACTTAATTAGATATAATTTTAATTAACTTAACTGACATATTCAAACTTAAAAATATCACTAGACTTGGACTTCATTTTGTGACTGTTTAATAGGCAAACCTCACTTTTAGCCTGAGATGGATTTGTTCCGTTCATCATAAACACATTTTATTGGAATGCTTTTCTCTTCAAACTTGTTGCATATTATTTGACCTACTTAACAGTTTCATAAGTAATTTCAATGGTTAAGCTCATGAGTCAGTTGAAGCTAGACCACCATGGAAAACCTGGAAGCACCGGACGGCCGTTCCGTCCTATTGTGGGGCTCCTCAGCAGTGCGCAACCACAACCTCGCCCCCTGAGAGATCCTAACCCAGGACCTACTGGTTTCGTGCGCGAACACTTAACCACTAGACCACTGAGCCGGCATCCAACGGTGTTAATGTCTAACTTCAACTAATCATAAGTGTTGCATCCTTAGGCATTTACTAAATTTCAATATGGAACCATACTGACTATGCAACATTTAATCAGTTGGTATTTACGATTTTGTCAGCCCAGCATATATAGGACAAATTTTTTTCAAAGACGTGTAGTTAATTGTTCATTTATACTGATTCGTCTTATCAACTTATGTGGTAAAAAACGGGATCAATATCTCTGGTGATACAGCTATCGACTTCAATGCTATTTAAAAACCTTTATCTACTGAATGAGCAGTTAAGACAACGTGTTAATACAAGATTAGCAAAGTATATGAGGAAAACTATTCAATTTAAATTTAAAATCTAGATATATGCTATATATTTGAACACATGGTACAAAGAGGCACCAGATGCATATGCGCCACACAGATCTCATTCGATATGTGTGAGGGCTGTGATACTGCCCGGGTGCCCAAACCGAAGCAAGTGGTTTTCTTAGGGGGCCACACCCGGAGCCTTCGACCTGGAGGTCTGATCCACAAGTCAGTGGAGCAACGTAAGCCGGTGACTAATAATTGGTTCATACGCCATTTGTTCCCTCAGGATAATGGAGCCCATGTGCACCATTGATTGGAATCAGGGTTTTCCGACTCCCCTAGGTGGACTCTCCATGTCCATCAACCCGGTTAAAGCGCCGGATATTCGCTTTTCGTCCTCTCAATTTCGTAAACAACACCGCCGTCACAAGAAGGCAGCGAGTAGGACTTCTCTGGCAGTGGTTGTATGCACATGGCCATGTGAGAGCATTTCGAGAGAGAGAGAGCGGACTCTCTCAACTCTCGGCCATACCAGGGCATTTGGGGGTCCAGTCTTCTTCCGAATATCAATTCTTTCTGAATGATTATGTTAATAAATTATTATTTAGAAATATAATTAGATCAAAAAAATACAATCTATTGTGAATTAATGACATAGTAATAAAAGCATTTGGTTCTTAGCTTACAAATCAAAGATTATAACCCATTTGGGGGCAGGGGCGAAGCAATCAGAAGTTCCTGAGCAAAATCAGAAAATGACTGATGTTTATTTTTTTATTACATTAAATGGACAATTAAAAAATCTTTATAAATCTGCTCAGAACATTTAAAATTGCCAGAAAATTACTTTGTTGTCACTTATTAAAAATGACGATATTAAAAGAAAGCATCAAATGCTCATGTTATTTACATATAGATTTTATACAACACCTTAATCAATCAGTTTTCACATTGTTTATAGTATATGTACAGAGAAATTATTTTATTGGTGATTTACTGAATAATCGACTAATTGATAAAGTAGGAATATTAAAATTATTATTGATTCTAATACATGACATATTCATAGCTTAATCTCGCGAAGTGAATTCGTTGATAAAGATTTTAGTAGGCAATAAATTATTTGTAGAATTAATTGTGACGATGAGAAGATTCAGGAGAAAATTTTCAACGTCAATATACTTATACTTTGATAAATAAGGCTATTTAACGATCTTTCTACAAGATTAAAATCAGAAAACTGATAAAATACCTTGAAAAACTAATAAATTTCCTTAAATCAAAAAGCTTCAATAGGTTTTGTTATTGCTACTGAAAATACCTTAAATTTATATAGACAAAGGAATGACTTGAAAATCATTTGGTCATTTTAAGAACTAAACACCCTGCATGTTAGTTTGGGCAGAAAGATATTATCAATAGATCTAACACCCAAACTATGGGTATATATATATATATATATATATATATATATATATATATATATATATATATATATATATATATATATATATATATATATATATATATATATATATATATATAAGTTAAATGAGTTACATATGAGAGTCTGATTTATTTTGTTCCCTGAATATATTATAACGAAAGTCACATTATTTATCAATCTATCAAGTTATTTTTGTTTTTTAATTTATTGTTGGAATAAAATGAAATTTTATGAAGAAATTACGAAAAGTAAGTCTCTATAATCATTCTTTATAAGTTCATATGAAATATTATATTTGAAGCTAAATCTACTATACCCCCCCTTTTTTATAGCTTGTTTGATAATTTCTATGACGAAAATTCTACACTACAAACAGTAAATTACTTACTTACTTACTTACCTACGCCTGTTATTCCACGTGAAGGAGCATAGACCGCTCACCATCATTCTCCATCCAACCCTGTCCTGGGCAATCCTTTCCAGCTCCTTCCAGTTGTTATTCATCCTTTTCATATCTGCTTCTAGTATCCGACGTAATGTGTTCTTAGGCTTTCCTCTTTTCCGTTTCCCTTCAGGATTCCAAGTAAGGACTTGTTTCGTGATGCAGTTTGATGATTTGCGTAATGTATGTCCTATTCATTTCCATCGTCTTTTCCTAATTTCCTCTTCAGCTGGAAGCTGATTTGTTCGCTCCCACAAAAGACTGTTGCTGATGGTATCCGGCCAATGGATGTTGAGTATCTTGCGTAGGCAGCCATTTATAAATACTTTTACCTTCTTGATGGTTGTTGTTGTAGTTCTCCAAGTTTCAGCTCCGGACAGTAGAACTGCCTTGACGTTAGTATTGAAGATTCTCACTTTGATATTGGTTGAAAGTTGTTTTGAGTTCCATATGTTCTTCAATTGTGAGAATGCTGTCCTTGCTTTGCCAATCCTTGCCTTTACGTCTGCATCTGAACTTCGTTGTTCATCGATGATGCTTCCGAGGTATGTGAAGGATCCTACATCTTCCAGAGTTTCGCCATCAAGAGTGATTGGATTGCTGTTCTCCGCTTTGAATTTGATGACCTTGGTTTTCCCTTTGTGTATGCTGAGGCCTTCTGATGCAGAGACTACTGCCACACTGGCTGTCTTTGTCTGCATCTGTTCGTGTGTATGCGATAGGAGGGCTAGACAAACAAACAGTAAATTATCTGGAAACAATTGATTTCTTGCTATTTTACATCGATATTATTCAACAAAATTTATCTATAACGATGAACAAATTTATGTGCTCACTGATAAAAAGAATGATTTTTCAGGAGCATTTAACTCTTTGTTTAGGATTATGTTCTCAATTACATATCAGGTTGGTGTAAAAATCATATAAACTAATTTTAGGATAGTTTAAAATGAATAAGCATCTATAATAATGTAGAAATAAATACACATTTGTTCCATCATGGTTTTGTGTATCACCACTTCTAGAGGATTTCTCAACCAGTACTTCCAACTGCTTGTAAACAATAAGAAGAAGCTATCTATCTCCGAATCTTAGAAAAGAATAAATCTTAATTTGTGCTTTTATAGATTCAAATATTAGGAATATCTAGACTTCTAAATGTAAAATTAAGTTAAGAGCATTTCAGTCATTCATAACATTCACGAACGTAGGGCGTTAATATATTTGTTTTTGACTCATTTCTTCCAGTATATTTACTAATCTATTATGCATATTCTATTTGCTTCGAACAACTACCTTACATATTTCTACACGTCTCAGACTAAAACTGAGATATTTCGTAGAAAACTGTCGCTTACTTTTCTAGAAATCCTAATCTGTTAATATGATTTCAATTCAACTTTTGGATTATAAAGGAACTCTTGATGTTTTAAATGTCAATGTTGTTCCATTGGTAGTTCTGAAAAATAGTATCTTAGATAATTTTTTACTGAATAATCCGAGCTTCTTTATGGTCTCAAAAATTGTGCGATTATGTTTAGATAAAGTTAGGTATCTGGCATGTAAAAACTTTCGTCTCCTGTTATATGAACTTATATGTTTCCTCACTGTCACAAAAGAGATGAATCATTAAATTTCAAACATCTTTTATGTTCTTACTGAGACTTTTTCTGTCAAAAGCATATAAGTGTTGACGTAAATTTCAGAATGAGTTAAGGGACTGATAAACTCGGTCTTCCTCTTTTCTTCTGTTTAACCTGATATTGACATAAGTCACTTTTGTAAGATATCAAATACATGACTAAAATTTTTGAATTTTCATCTGGAAATTTTAGAGTATTTTGAATCTTTTCACTATCTTTGTCTATGTCAGACTATGTTGGAACTGTGTCGAATAGTATCATTGTTTAGGAAGAGTTCTCCGTCAACTAATTCGTAACTTAGGTATATATGCAGTGATCATACGATAACTGACTTAAGATTTAACAATAGACAACTGACCGATAAGTGTTTATAGTTTTTTGTAAAAGCGGTTAACTATAAATCGTATGTACAAATTTTATGAAACCTGTCGGATGGAATTCAGTTCTATTCAATATATAACATATCACGTTTAGGAGATTAATAGTAAGAAACTTATTGCATAGTGCCCAGATTTAGAAGAACTACCATTTAACACAAGAATTCTTTTTTAAATTCTTAAAGTAGCAGTAAACATTTAATGTATGTACATTATCATACAAATCTTCACACTGACAATTTTAGAAACAAAGTCTAAATTTGACTGAATTCTTAAATGTTGACATCACGTCATGGAATGGATTACACTGAAAATAAACATGCATCCTTGTACAATAGCATATATATTTGTAATTAAAAAGCTTATACTGAAGGAGCATGTATCATAAATGAAGATTCTAAAACAACATTTTTCAAACGTGAAAATCGAATCTCTATACTTGATTTTATTGTTCTTTCTCCTCTTTTACCGTTCTAACTTTAAAGCCTGATGATAAAATATAAGGTGTTTTTATTTCACCAATTATGTTACGCATTTATTTACCCATTTACCTGAGTGTAAT